CACAATCCAGAATCAAATCAAAGCAGCCCAATTGAAACATATTTCTGCAGATCTTACCAAAATCCAAATTTTAGGAATCTGTATTTCCAAATGGGGACTAAATTATTCCATGAAAGGCAAGGAGGATTTTTAGGTTTAAGTTCTCTTTTATGCAAAGCAGCTAAGTGACTGCCTTTGCATTACCCCTCCACCACACTTCACTTTCTATTTTTAAATCTACATTTTTTCAGACAATTTGGTTTTAAAATTATATTTACATTTTTAACATCTCTTAATGAGCTTATTTCATTGGCAGCGCAAACCTAATTATGAGTCACACCAGGGGCTCTTTTGCTATGGATATTTCCTCCAATTGAGGCTGATCAAAGATTAGTGGGCCATAAGAGAACCACAACTTCAGACATTCCACTCATTTTTTAAACTGAAATAATCTATTGAGGTACAGTTAAATTTTTATAAAGATCAGAATTTTTAATTAAGAGGAGCTTTAAAAAAACCCAACAACTCATGTTCTGGGGTGAGTTTTATCCCCCCTCCTCCCCCCCATTAAAATATGTCTATAAGCTGAACCTCTAGTAACCTTTTCTTTGAAGGTAGCCACTCTCAACAATTATGATCATAAGTGGATTTGCATTATGAATCTTAAAAAGTAGGTTACATTTTTACAAACTAGACTCACTGTCTTTCAGGACTATAATGTATTTTGAAATTGCTGCTTATGAGTGCTTTTGTTTATTTTTACTTTTTACTCTGAATATTTGTTCAAGTGTAAAAAAGCATCTAATTAACAAAAATTGGCCCCAAACCCCATGCAGCACATTGACAATGCTGCCACATTTATCTTATTTCATCTCTTTCTTTGGGGAGGCATATAACCTAACATTTAAAGCACAGTTGTCAGCCCCAGGGGCTTTCACATTCTAACCTCACCACAGGCTCACTGTATTTCTAGGCAAGTCATTTTTAAAAAATTGCCTCTAATTTCAGGGGCCTCAGTTCCCAGATGACTAATTTTAGAAACAGAGAGGTCTGATGTTTCTTGTGCTCTCTATCTGCTACAGTTGGAATTGAAGGCATGCAACAGATTTACAAATCAGGCCCTAGATGGGTTGGGCACCCAACATCATAAGTCACTTTTATGGAAAATGTAAATTTAGCACAAACCACTGCATCAGCTGGAGCTGCACTTCTTTATGGCTTTCCTAAATTTGTTCAGCCTTATTTTCTATATCTGTAGAACAATATAATGCTCACTTATTCCACAGATATACTGAGAGGCTTAGTTCATCTTTGTGCTGTATATCAAAGACAAAGGGCAATTTCTGATCTAATTTATATCCACATAAAATCTTCACCTGAGCCACAGCCATAGCAAGGGCTTGGAGATGTGATAATTCAGAAGCTGGAGATGTGCAGATTGATGATCACTATTCCACAAAGGAGTAATAGGCAATGCAATAGCACATATTCCTAGCTATACCAGATATATAGAAGAGCCAGCAGCCTATACATGCACATAAAAGAGCGCACGGGGTGTGTCTACACATTCATTAATGCACTTTAAATATAGTACCTCCTTTGTAAGGTACTAGAAAAATGTGCATTAGCCTATTTTAATGCACTGTAGAGGGACCCAAGCCAAGCAGCTACACTGGGATGGAGCCCATGTGCCGCACACTCAGGGGACATCTCACTCTCTTATTCTTAAATCTCACCCACCATGACTTGGAGAAAAGTACCAGGAGGTGGGATCTGATTGGAAAGGAAGATGGTTGAGATTGGTATGAGTCACAATGTCCTCAGATCTTCTGTTGGGTTCCTTCTCCCCTATACCCCACCCCTTTCCACTTGGGTGTTCCTATGGCTTGAGGTGAACACCTAGCCATACTGGGTGTTGGCCTCATTATTCAAGGCAATGAATCCATAACAGAAAGACAACTGTGTTTCCAAGAGTCAGAGTCTCTCAGCTGAGCCTTCTGGGCCCTGCTGCAGTTCTGGGTCAGAGGTGCATGGCCGGCATAAGGAAATGAATAAACTAATCTAGCTCAAACAGCAATGTCCAAGCCTGTTTCAGGCCTTTCCTTGGCCTGGTAGTGTATCTTGGCCACCTTCCCTCAGGCAGCCCAAGCTCTTCAGGGTTTCCTCTGTACACAAGTTTGGTCAAAGTGGGCTGGTCTGTCCTGGTCTGAGCCCTTTTTATAAGGTGGGGCCAGGGGTGTCATGAACCCTGGAGTAGCCCCTAAAGGTATCTGACCTCACATGGTAGAATTCTGGTCAGGAGTCCTTCTGGAGAGCCATTCTGATCCAGATTCTCAACCCCAGGTCTTCTGCCTTTGTGGGGAAACATAGTGAGCCAGCCATGCCTGTGCTTGTGTTCCCACATCCTGGGGTTGGCGCATCCTTATGTAAGGGGTTCGGGACTGGTCTGAGCCAATCCAGACCCCTACTCATTCCCACATGCTCTGCCACTGCTGACAGATGCTGATAGCCCTAGATGGGCCCATTATCTCCTACACCTGTCACCTCTAGATGCTAGGTGGTGCCTCCTGTGCTGGCCACCTGCCTTCTTGTCAGGAAGCAGCCTGTGCCCATGTGAGGCTGGGGTTCTGACCCTGTGAAGTAGAGTGGAGCCTGTGGGGGTGTTGACTGCACTCTGACAGGCTCTCCAGCAGTGCAGCAGAACATCTTCTGTGTGTGCAGGCTCATTGCTTCTCCACAGCCCAAGCCAGGGATCTGCTGTATGAGGACTGTGCCAGGTGCCCTTAATCCAGTAAGTGCAGGGTTCAGCTTGGCCCCTGTTGCATGTGCATAAACTGAAGAACATGGGTTTTTTGTGATGCTTTAATGCACATTAAAATAAGCTAATGCACCTTAAAGTGCACATGTAGACAGGGCCACTGTTTCCTTAGTATTGAGTAGATCTACACAAGACATTTAATGTACAGTATACTAAATAGATGTGCAGTAAACAATGTGTGTCTCCACGTGCACCCCTTTTAGGACGGAGTAAACTAATTAACTTTGCAGCAGGATAGTACTAGTATTTACTTGTAAATACTAGTACTATCCTGCTGCAGAGCTTATTTACTCTGCAGAAACACTGTGCCAGCTGGCTGAGGCACAAGGGTGCTTCAGTGCAGGAGCTGCTTGCCAGCTAGCCCTGCACTGAAGCTCCCCTGTGCCCCCATAAGCCCCTCCACAGTATGTTGAGCTGGGAAGGAATAGCCCCAGGCTGGCTGCCTGCCAGCTAGTCCTTCACTGAAGTTCTCCTGTGCCCCAGTCAGCCCTTCCACAGCATGTTGAGCTGGGGAAGAGTAGGCTGGCCCGCC